AGTAGTGGTAGTAGTAGCAAAAGTAGTGGTAGTAGTAGCAAAAGTAGTAGTAGTAGTAGTAGTAGTAGTAGTAGTAGTAGGCGTCGTCGTCGTGGTGGCTGTGGTGGTAGTAGTAGTAGTAGTAGTAGTAGTCGTCGTAGTAGTCGTAGTAGTAGTAGTAGTAGTAGTAGTAGTAGTAGTAGTAGTAAGCAGTCGTGGTGGCAGCAGCAGCAGCAGCAGCAGCAGCAGCAGCAGCAGCAGCAGCAGCAGCAGCAGCAGCAGCAGCAGCAGTAGTTTCTGAGTTTTTGCTACTGTTGCTGCTGGTGTTTTTGTTTCTGTTGCTCCAACTATTTACTGTTGCTATCATCGTCTTTTTGATTTTGGTGAATGTGGCTGTTATTTGTTTGCATTTATTGATGGACAGGTCCAGACCCGGCTAGATCGAGGACGGATTCGGGACCTGGAGCAGGACCGCGTGGGGCGTTCGGGGCTTAGGGCTTAAGGTTTAGAATTAGAGATCAGGTCCGGTTTAGGAATTGCGGTTTAGGGTTCAGGGGTTAGGGTTGAACGTTTAGGGGCCTTCTGCAGAGGCCTCAAAGGTTTTCGGTTTCAGGCCCTCTGACCTAGCAAGATTTTCCTTCGGGACACGCATACTATACTTACAATATACCCCAAAACTCTCTTTTCTAATTATTCAGGCCTCTATACTAAACTACTAAACCAGTATAGGAACCCTTGTGGACCCCTTCAACAGGAACCCTGACATAAGGGAGCCCTCTGCTAATTATTAAGGCCCCTGCACTCGACCTTGCAACATGACTTCCGTGTTGGGAATTGCCGGGCCACGACCTGGAACTCGGAGTGAGGCTTGAGGGTTTGGGGTTTAGGGTTTGGGGTTTTGGGGTTGAGGGTTTGGGGTTTAGGGTTGGGGTTTTTGGGGTTGAGGGTTTGGGGTTTAGGGTTGGGGGTGGCGTTTAGGAGCGTTGAGTATCCTGGTAGTCCGGACATTTGGTCTGTGAAGAGCAGTGGGCATAATAAGGGTGCATGCTTCCGTACGATAATGCAGTCTTTTTTCACTTGATTTTGCGCAGACGATGTCTGCAGCCACCAGCACAACCGTGGCCAATGCTGCTCCTCATCAGCTGTCTGTGCGGTCGAAAGATTGCTATAGCTGCTATTCCTCTTGGTGATATTCTTAGTGATGGCGCAGTAGCTATGCGATAGTTGCAAACAATGTACCATTTTGGTGATGCTGATTCGATGATGACGCAAGCGAGGATGACGTTGGTGATATTGATGACACAGGTGCTGTCCTGGTTATTGTAGTAGTGACGCTGGGTGATTTTGCTACCCTAGGAGTTCTGGGTGGACTTGCGCCCCTCATATTAACCTAGGGTGAGGGCTAATCCCGAGTCCCGAAATCCGGATTCTGGGACTTCACACTTCACCCTCGCACAATCGAGTACCGAGTGAAAAGGAGCTGCGGAGGCAAAGCAGGGACACTTGGCTGCAGGCTTTGGCATCAGATTCTCAATGAGGGAGAAGTGCGATGAGCACCGACCCGGAATCTCATGACGTGAAAGCGCAAGAACCCCCATCCTTTCAGAACATGCAAAGGTGAAGAGGCCATGAATTAGGCGTCCTGTAGAGATAGTTCTTGATCGGTTTCGGAATCGGTTTTGGTGCATGACGGTGAATCGTGATGCTGCAGTTCTTCAGGTTCGGACCCGGCGTACACTGCTTTTCCACGTTTCGCCACCTTGGTTTCCAGGCTCACACCCCTGAACCCTAAGCCCAAACCCAAAAAACAGTAGTCACTAGTCGGTGTTGCGGCGTTGATCAAGTTTGTATTGCCCCGAACCCTCAAGTCCAAAACCCTCCGAAACCGGTTTAGGGTTCGGAGCCCACGCCGAGGAGTTGTCGCAGCTGCGAGCGCATGCGCGTGACCGCGGCGAGGCTCTGCGTAGTTTTGCTGTCCGGGCAGCCAGGGTGATGCGGTCCTCAGTGGATTTGGATTAGGGTTTATGACCCTCAACCCTAAACCTTAAACCCTAAACCCTAAACCCTAAACCCTAAAACCCTAAACCCTAATGAAGATACGACACTCAAGACTTGATCTTCCTTGTTCGAAACAGCAAGACAACTGTCGTTTCTTCAGAGTATCACACGTTCGTTCCCAGTGCAGTAGTACTTGTGACTTTCAATAGTAGCCAAGCTACCCTAAACCCCAAACCTAAACCCAAAAACCCTAAACCCCAAAACCCCGAAGCACATGGTGTGGCGAGGATCCATGCTCGTGTGCCTCCCTAGCCCCCTCCTGCTCCTCCTCCTTATCTTGCAAAAGTTGCCCGGAAGCTTGGGGAATCTAGAGCCTTCTACATAAGCACAGTCCTTGTAAAATCCCAGGTGTCTTCAACTCCAAAACGACTTAGGTCCTGAAGCTTTGGGCTCACAGCGTCAGCCTGCCTCCGCAGTTTCTGTTCACTTCAAGTTCCCTCCTGACATCTTGTTTTCAATCTGTGACCTTGGACGTGGTCCTATGTGCAACATGGCGATCACCGTGGAAGTTGGACTTCTCAGTGGCAGGAGTGTTGCTGTGCAAGCAGGCTCGGATGAAGAGGTGGCCGCATTGAGCTTTCGGGCTCAGTCTGCGCTAGGAGTCAGCAAAGGCAGACTTTTGGACTCGGCTGGAGGCGTTCTTGATGAACGCGCGCTGATCAAGCATGCCAGGGTGCAGCATGGTGATACACTCACCTTGCACGTTCGAAGCATTCAAGCTTGCCGCACTGAATTCGCTTTTGCTTTCATTCATGGTGATGGATCTGTGGAGACTTGGGGCTGTGCCGCCAATGGGGGTGACAGCACTGCAGTGCAGGATGGGCTGAATGATGTTCAGCAGATCCAGGCATCTCATGGTGCTTTTGCGGCCATTCTCGGCGATGGAACTGTCGTGACCTGGGGCAATGCTCAACATGGTGGCGACAGCAGCGTTGTGCAGGATCAGCTGAGGAATGTGCTGCAAATCCAAGCCTCCAACAGCGCATTTGCTGCCATTCTTGTCGATGGAACTGTCGTGACTTGGGGGAAGGCTTACCATGGTGGTGACAGTCTTGCTGCGCAGGATCAGCTAAAGAACGTGCGGCAAATCAAGGCAAGTGGCAGTGCTTTTGCTGCCCTTGGTCCCGACGGAGCTGTGGTAACCTGGGGCAGTCCGATGGCAGGTGGTGACAGTCGGGCCGTGCAGGATCAGCTGAAGAATGTGCGACAGATTCAAGCTTCCAGCGGCGCTTTTGCAGCCATTTTGAGCGATGGATCCGTCGTGACTTGGGGAGCTGCGGATTCGGGTGGTGACAGCAGCAATGTTCAGGATAAGCTGCAGAACGTGCAGCAGATCCAGTCATCTGGTGGTGCTTTTGCTGCGGTTCTTGGCGATGGAACCGTCGTCAGCTGGGGCCATCCTGGCTTCGGCGGAAATTGCAGTTCCGTGCAGGATCAGCTCAAGAATGTGCAGCAGATCCAAGCATCTAGAGCCGCTTTCGCCGCCATTACTGTTGATGGATCTGTTGTGACATGGGGGGGTTTCGTTGACACTGAGGGTAGTGGAGGTGTTGTCCAGAAGCAACTTCATGATGTGCAGCAGATTCAGGCCTCTTTGGGCAGCTTTGCAGCCATTTTGAGCGATGGATCCGTCGTGACTTGGGGAGCTGCGGATTCGGGTGGTGACAGCAGCGCTGTGCAGGATCAGCTGAAGAATGTGCGGCAGATCCAAGCCTCCAGTGGCGCTTTTGCTGCCATTCTTGGTGACGAAACTGTCGTGACTTGGGGCGATTCGCACTTTGGTGGTGATAGCACAGCCGTGCAGCACCAGCTGAAGACTGTGCAGCAGCTCCAGGCTTGCAGTGCAGCTTTTGCCGCCATTCTTGAGGATGGAACCGTCGTGACTTGGGGCAACCCTAGGGAGAGCGATGTCTGCACCATGAGCTGAAGACAGCGCAGCAGCAATGACAGTTCGGAGAAGGGTTTGGGGATGTTTGGCGTGTACTAGACTGCACCGAATACTAGTTGAGGCACAACTTACGGGCATGCTATGGCATGATATAGGCAAAGCCGACCTCCAGTTGTGATTTTCCTTCTACTCTCGGAGATGGGCCCGGAGTTAGACTTGGGATATTGCCGGCAGCTGTGGTGTAAGAGTTACTGCATCACTACATACTGTGCAGCAAATCCAAATCTCCATCTTCGCGTCCGCATCTTCTCGCTCCTCCGTGTTGTTCCCGCTAGGGTCATAAATCAGATACTCGCAACTATACGTACTGTAGAGCTTCTGAACATGTAGGGGCCTAAATAAGTACCTATATTCTTTTGGTGTTTCCTTATTTTACTTCTAGTATAATGGGCCCCAAGACCCTAGTCTAATTATTAAGGCCCCTATATTAAGAGCCGATAAACCCTCGAGAAGCACTACGGACACAGGCCCTCAGTCCTCAGCCGACTTACGCTCAGCCTCAGTATCTCCAGGTAGGACACGTGAAGCCTTGCCTGATAGAAGCCAAACCCTCCTCGTCGCGGTCGCCGCGAGAAATAAGTGACATATTACTCCCGGTAGCAAGTACGATTTTGGGTTTAGGGCACAAGAAAGTGTAGGGTTTAGGGTTTAGGGGTTTAGGGTTTAGGGGTTTCGGGGTTTATGGTTTAGGGTTGCCATTACCCATAAAAACGAAACCTTATCATGCTCCAGCCGGTCCGGGCCGGGGGGTTCAAGCAGTGTCTGCATCACTCTGGGGATGAGAAGGGCGCCACTTGAGAAGTTGCTAACATACTCTTCCTGAGGCTTCCTGATGATAAGTCTCTACTACAACGATCACCAGAATGTTATTATACCCTAAACCCTAAACCCTAAACCCTAATTGAAACTATTAAAGCCCCGATGTTACCTCAGCAGTTCCCCTGGTTGGGGGAGGCAACGCTACAAGAGCACAGCGAGTCTCCATTTCGGGCCTTCTTTCAAGGGTGCCAGAAAACCTGAATTGTGAGTCCTTCTGTAGACCCTAAACTCCTCAGGGCCTTTAGGGTTTAGGGGTTAGGGTTTAGGGTTTAGGCCCCCCAAAACGAAACTATACACACCCCGTAACCATGTCACTTTCGGCTGCTCCCTGTTTCCTAAACCCGGCGATAAAATTCACGGACTTCCCTTACAGTAACAAGAATAGCATATCGTAGTAAATCATAGTGTTGGTATATCGTCACATTTACTTGTATAGCCGTATATACTCACACATCATCGTGTGTTACTCCTTTAATGCAAGCAAGTGCAAGGGGCTGCCCATCTCGACCCAGCCTCAGTACTTTAAGGCTCTCCCTACTAGGTATAGGTTGGTGGTTTAGGGTTCAGGGTTGAGGGTTCAGGGTGTGGGACCTTTTATTTTTTCCCTCCGTGGGCCTAAGAGGGCCTTCTTTACGACTGTTTGTTCAAAGGTTTTACAGGGCCAGCCTAGTATACCCTGAGCCAATCAGATCGGGGGTTTGGGGCGTTACTGTAACAAAGGGTTTAGACGAAGATTTTTGAGGGCTAGGGCTTAGGCAAACTATGTAGGGACGATTGAGGAAGACGATTTCTGGACTCCAACCCTGGAAATGCATAGACCCCTGTACAGCTCAAACCCTAAACCCTAAACCCTAAACCCAAGCCCTAAAAACCCTCAGACGAATCCTTATCGACCCGAAACCTGCTACCCGAAACCCTGAAGGTATAGTCAAAAATGCCTTCAGACCGTGCTGTGCCAGGAGAGAGCCCCCTTGCGCCAAGATGCGTCGCATCCTTCGGCGCTGTCGGAAGCGGCCCTGTCGAATCAGCCGGGCTTTCTTCTTTGGGGTTTTTTGGAGCGTTTAGGGCTCAGGGTGGGGGTTGGGGATTTAAGGGGCCAAGGGTTAGAAGTTTGGTGTGGTCTCGGGTCGGGGTTCACTCTGTTCTGTGCTATGAATAAGCATTGTTCTTTTCAGTACCCTAAACCCTAAACCCTAAACCCTAAACCCTGAACCCTAACACAAAACCCCTAAACCCTAGATTATGTATTTTCGGGTTTGGGGTTGCGTCACCAGCAACATCATCATCACCAACATTCACAACATCATCATCGTCTCCACCCTTGTCACCATTATCGTCGTCATTATCTTCATCAATATCACCATCATTGATTTCCACTCCCCAGCTGCTCAAGTCTGAACTGAAGAGAGCCGGGTTCTGGTGCGACATAGCAATAATGCTGATGCCGACCCCGAACCCCTAAACGCTAGGCCCCGAACCCCTAAACCCTAGGCCCTGAATCCCAAACCCTAAACCTCTGAACCCTCAACCTTAAACCCTCGACCCTCGCAGAGAAGTCTTGCGACTTCTCTGCGAGGAGAAAAGGTCCGGTCAAACAAAAAACCCTCGACCCTAAGCCCTACACCCTGCTATACTTGGTATCGTTGCAGTAACAAGAGAGCCCAGGTGGACTTCCTCTACTCGGAGCTGGCACCGAGCTCAGCCGCTGTTGTCGTTTTGGCTGGGTTTCGGAAGAGTTCTGTAAGGGTTTAGGGTTTAGGGACCTCTACAAGGGTTTTGAGTTTAGGGAACTCTATAAGGGTTTAGGGCTTAGGGCTTAGGGAACTTTCTAAGGGTTTTAGAAGGGTCTGACAAGGATTTCACAAGGGTTCTACAAGGGGACTCTTTTGTCGACGCCCCAGGGCGGCGGTTTAGGATCCAGGGCTTAGGCTTCGAGTATCAGGACCTTGGGAAATAGAGTTCGTTTGAAATCAAGGGTTTTGGATTCAGAGTGCCGGGGTTTAAGGTTTAGGGTTAGATACTTAGAGATTAAGTGAGGTGCTGAAAGTGTTTTGGCCTACAGCTGGGATGGCTATACGTAGGCATGTAGCAGCAGCAGAGGCTTGAGAAAGTAACACGCGTTCAGCAATGCAGCAAATACGGTAGCACATGTGAAGTAGTCGAGTGCTCAAGATGCGTGCAAATGCCAGCAGTAGCTGGCTGTTGTACGCCTAAGCCCTAAGCTTTAAACCCTAAACCCTAAACCAGGGTAGGGTTTAGGGTTTAGGGTTTAGGGTTTAGGGTTTGGGGTTTAGGGTTTAGGGTTTAGGGTTATCCGGAAAGATTGTTTCGTCGGCTCGTGAAGTCCATGGTCTGAGCTGAAGACCTTGAAGATATGACCCCCGGAGCCACAGAAGTCCAACGGCTACATGCCTCAGCTTTCTTGAGAGCCTCCCATGCTTTACGTAAACCCGAGTGGGTTTAGGATTTAGGGTTCAGGGTTTAGGGTTTAGGGTTTAGGGTTTCAGGGGCAGGAGAAACCCTAATGTAGGGCCTCAACTTGGGCCTATCGAAGTTTGGTTTCCTAATTCTGGGCGCAGCCACCTGCTGTGATGTTCCGGAAGCGATACACAAGCACAATTCCCGTGCCTGCAGGCGCAGCGAGACATGGACATTGTGCGGCTTCAAAGTGCTTCGGCATGCGTAGCCCCGACTCAGTGGCAATCCTCAATCATCCAGAAGATCACTGAGGTTGCTTGAAATGCCTTCACTGGCCAGTAAGATGCGAAGTTTCGTTGCAACGCTGAGGAACTCCTAGGTAGTTTAGGCCCTAGATTGTCATTGCAGACCATACAGACCCCTGAAGCTTTGCAGACCCATGTTGGTGCCCGCCCATCCCAAGGCCAGTTGGGCATGTGCAAAGCGTCCAATCAGCTCTTCTCCCGCCGGATGAACATGCAGAGCAAGCTGAACCAGATCCTGCATGACGTGTCGCTGGGCAGGGAAAGGAACTTAGGGCAGCAAGGGCATGAATTCTGAAAGCAGTCTGCGTGTACCAAACATTACATCGAAAAAGCTTGTTCTGAATCAGATTCTGCTTTCGGGCCTTCCTTGCAGTGGACTCCGATCGCAAAGCTGGCATGGCAGGGCAGCATCAATACCAATCGCGTAACCGAGCCTGCCGAAGGAAACTGATCACAGTGGTACCGGTGGTAATGATGCATCCCAGAAGAACGCAGCAAGCATGCATCACAGTCACTATGATCAGTACAACAAGCAGCAGGTGCCTGAACCCTCAATCCAATTTGAACCAGCTCCCGCTTCATTTGATGCGGCGACTGCTGAGGCTTACCGATGGCGAGAATGCCGATTTGATGGCACCTCCGCGGCACATCTACGGCGGTCAGGTCAGTCTAAGGCTAGGCTTGATGTTTGGCGTTGTCGATTGTTTGAATGGTAGATGAGCTACAAACATGAGGAGCAGAAAGTCCATCAATGCCCATCACCTTCTGGGCTCAGGATCCGTACCCAGTCGAAGACCAATCAGGGGAGCCGTCGATAACATAAAACATAAGGAAAGCTGGTAGTAGCATAAGGGAGTTTCGCAATAGCAATGGCTGCGAAGACAATGGCCCAAAGCACGCACGGTATAGGGTTTAGGGTTTAGGGTTTAGGGTTTAGGGTCTTACAGAGTGCCCGGATGGTGCAGTGCTGTTGACTGTCAGGACCCCTGAGGGCGTTTGAAGGCCCAGAGTGCACAACATAAGGGCTAAATATGATACCCTAACCCCTAAACCCTAAACCCTGAACCCTATAAACCCTAAAGCCCTAAAACCCTAAACCCTAAAGGTTTCCGATGAAGACGATACTATACCGGACCCTAAAATCCTGTTCTGATCATTATCAGGTTCCCATATTAATTTAAGTAAGACTGATCCTTAGATAATTTTATTAGTTAAGGATCACTCTTACTAGGCAAGCAGAGTCAGTCCACGTAGGCAGCATATGGAGAGCTCGCAGCGATGAGGAGGACTTAGGCATTCGAGGTTTTTGTGGTTGCGGCTTCGGGTCTAGGGTTTAGGCGTTTACGGGTCGAGGGTTTAGGGCCTTAGTGGTTTAGGAGCTTAGATTTCAGGGAAGTTTAGAGGCTACTTGCAGGGCTGGAAGCCTACTGAAGGTAGTTCAAGCTGGTGCTGGGTGGGTTTTCAGACTTGGTCACCGTGCTCCCACCTCAGGGGCGGAGACAGCTGATACACCGGAAGCTCTAAACACAAGACTGAAAGAAGCCATTCGGAAGCCAGAATCTGAAAAAAAACATCCGAGCCAGGCGTTTGGGGTTTGGGGTCTACGATTTTTAGTTTTGGCCTTGGGGTCTGGGTTTTCAGGGGTTGAGGGTTTGGGGTTCGGGGTCGACGTTCTGCGGTTTTGGGCTTGGGGTTTCGGGTTTTGTCACCGAACTTCCTTGCAAGACAAGGGCCCCAGACCCAAAATCCCTGAAAAAGAGAGACAACTTAAAGCCCTTCAGCACTACATATATAAATAAATAAATAAATAAATAAATAAATATATATATATATATAGATCCCATGAAGCCGTAGCCCCTACAGCCCTGAGCCGTAGACCCGTAAAGCCCCAGAGAGACAACACGAAACTGAGGCTGAGCTTAAGGCGGCTGAGGACTGAGAGCCCGTGTCCGTAGTGCTTCCCGAGGGTTTATAGGCTCTTAGTATAGAGGCCTGGGGTTTAGGGTTTAGGGTCAGGGTTTTGGGGTATATCATACTATATAATTATAACAAGGAACCCCCCAAAACCCCAAGCACCAAAACCTGAGCCCTAACCTAAACCCGAAGCCCTAAGCCCTAAACCATATGGATGCTTGTTGAGCCCCTTCGGATATCTCAATGTAGGGGACTTGAATAGATAAGCATGATAGGGTTTGGGGGTGTCTCAGCATTAAAGGTCTAGATCAGGGCTTACATGAAGCTGACAACACTCGCGGTCTATGAAGACCTCGCTGAGCAATGAAGCTGTTGGGCACGTCAACATCCACATGTTCCCTGGTGAGATGCTGTTTCCGTTGCTACGTCCAAGTCGTGTTCTTGAGGTGTCATCGACGTCAAGTTCTAGCATGAGGCATCCCTAAACCCTAAACCCTAAACCTTAAACCCTAAATCCTAAACCTTAAACCCTACACCCTCAATC